TACTAGGGGCTCCTGGCATCGCTACTAGGAGCAAGGACGCTACTAGGCGCTCCTGGCCTTACTACTAGGAGCAAAGAAGCTAGTAGGGGCTCCTGGCATCGCTACTAGGAGCAAGGACGCTACTAGGGGCTCCTGGCATCGCTACTGGGAGCGAGGACGCTACTAGGGGCTCCTGGCCTTACTACTAGGAGCAAAAAAGCTACTAGGGGCTCGTGGCATCGCTACTAGGAGCAAGGACGCTACTAGGGGCTCCTGGCATCGCTACTAGGAGCAAGGACGCTACTAGGGGCTCCTGGCCTTACTACTAGGAGCAAAAAAGCTACTAGGGGCTCGTGGCATCGCTACTAGGAGCAAGGACGCTACTAGGGGCTCCTGGCATCGCTGCTAGGAGCAAGGACGCTACTAGAAGCACCTGGCATCGCTACTAGGAGCAAGGACACTACTAGGGGCTCCTGCCCTTTCTACCAGGAGCAAAAAAGCTACTAGGGGCTCGTGGCATTGCTACTAGGAGCAAAGACGCTGCTAGGGGCTCCTGGCATCGCTACTAGGAGCAAGGACGCTACTAGGGGCTCCTGGCATCGCTACTAGGAGCAAAGAAGCTACTAGGGGCTCCTGGCATCGCTACTAGGAGCAAGACGCTACTAGAAGCACCTGGCATCGCTACTAGGAGCAAGGACGCCACTAGGGGCTCCTGGCCTTACTACTAGGAGCAAGGACGCTACTAGGGGCTCCTGGCCATACTACTAGGAGCAAAGAAGCTACTAGGGGCTCCTGGCCTTACTACTAGGAGCAAAGAAGCTACTAGGGGCTCCTGGCATCGCTACTAGGAGCAAAGACGCTACTAGGGGCTCCTCGCATCGCTACTAGGAGCAAGGACGCTACTAGAAGCACCTGGCATCGCTACTAGGAGCAAGGACGCTACTAGGGGCTCCTGGCATCGCTACTAGGAGCAAGGACGCTACTAGGGGCTCCTGGCATCGCTACTAGGAGCAAGGACGCTACTAGGGGCTCCTGGTATCGCGACTAGGAGCAAAGACGGTACTAGGGGCTCCTGGCCTTACTACTAGGAACAAAGAAGCTACTAGGGGCTCCTGGCCTTACTACTAGGAGCAAAAAAGCTACTAGGAGCAGAGGGCAGCGCTACTAGGAGTAAGGAGCTACTATGTCACTATGTTAGATAATGGGGATGAGACCACTTCAGCCACTTCAGCCCTTGTGTTGAATCCACCTGTCAGCCTCGAACTACTTTCGCACCCGATCGCTTGTAGACGAACACCTCACGTCCAGATGGCTACTGTACCTGTGGATTGGAACAAACATCCGGAATCCGAACACTGTGTTCCAATTCCGAATGATGCGTGTGTGTCGTCCTTGCAGCCGAACGGTTCCAGCGCTTGCTTCAAACGACCACCTCCAAGGAACATATGAACGGGCGTGTTTAGCGCAAAACCTGTCAGCTGCGACTGACTTTTGGGGAGTAGGAGCGATCGGACGCTACTAGTAGCTCCTGGAATCGCTACTAGGAACCTGGGCATCGCTACTAAGTAACTAGGACCCTACTAGGGGCTCCTGGCCTTACTACTAGGAACAAGAAGCTGTTGGTCGCCTTTGAGGAGAAATGGGAGCCCTATAGTATGCCTTAGTGGCAAGCAATTCTTCGCTGGGAGAACCAACTGTTGTGTTTTTTCCCTTGTAGGACATATTTTTCACATCTTGTTACTAGTAGCGATGCACTTGTTACTAAGTGGTTCAAGTCCCTTCTCGTATCGCACAGGACCGGGAGAACCGTGTGCGGGACCGCGAGCGGGATATTGAGAAGGTGCGGGCGTGAGCTGGCGGGGGGAACTGGTGCTGGAGTAGTTCAGAGACTCTTCGCCAAAATGATCTGATGGACATCATGGCTTCATTGGAGAACGTTTTGAGTTCCCTGCCACTATTTCTTGATGTTGAATGTGGTTTACGGAGATTGTACCTCAATCACCAAGACCCTTCTCACAAACAAGAGAGGACTGTGAGTTGTTGTTGCACTTTGGCGCAGGAGTCGCAACCTACTAGTTAGTTTACTTGGAGTTTTCGGTATAGAATTGGTCACATGCGGTTACATCCTGTTCTGGAGCTTCTAGGTTCAAAATTTCTATCCTCGCCTGGTGAACTTTATATAAGCAAGGACGCTACTAGTAACAAAAGGCATCACTGCTAGTAGCATTCTTGCTACGAACGGAACAAGTGGACGCGACCTGAACGGTAACATGGGACACCTCGACCCGGACACCGGGCGCGATCCACATGGGAAACCACGACTCACCAGGAATACTAGGAACAAGAAGCCATTAGGAGCAAGGGCATCGCTACTAGTAACTATAGGACGCTACTAGGGGCTCCTGGCCTTACTACTAATAGCAAGAAGCTACTAGGAGCTCCTGGCATCGCTACCAGGAATACTCCTATCGGCTCCGGGAGTTTGAGCGGAGCGAGGTGGGAGTCCGTGGGAGCGAGGTGAGCCTTCCATGGCAGGAAGGTGATCCTCTCCTACCCATGTGGTGGGGGGAGGGTTGAACATGTAAGTCTAATCCATTCAGATATGAGCTACTAGTAACAAGAAGCTACTAGGGGCTCCTGGCATCGCTACTAGGAGCAAGGACGCTACTAGGGGCTCCTGGCCGTACTACTAGGAGCAAGTAGCTACTAGTTACAAGAAGCTACTAGTCAAACGTCATTTTTTGTTCAGGTGCAATGGCCTAGAGCTGGAATAAATCTTATTGTAGACTCATGATTGATAAAACCTCCCATTAGGAGGTTGTTCAATCCAAATAGGATGTTTTTTCATCAAGAGTTTGCATGCTGTCCAGAGATGGGACGAGTTTCGACGAGCAAAATCAGGTCCTTGGTCCCGAAGCAATAGATCTGGAAACACGTCCCTATAGAATCGTAGGGTCCCACGCGAACGATGGGTCACCGGGCTCAGATTTGTGTCACAGGTGTGTCACCACCAAAAGGTTGATGGGTCGCATACAAGTCGGTATCCTGCATCCCTGGAGTGAACATGATCCCTGGATCCAACAAGTCATTTGGGTACATGACTCACATGACCTGTTGATGTCGCGACTGTTTCCTAACAACTTAGATTTCCTATGCTGCCCTCCTTTGAAAAAGACCTCTTACGACATCCCTTTCTCTTCGGCTTCTCGGCGTCAAGGGTGGACGCCGACTGGTCGCCTCGCTCGCGTTTCCTCGGTCGCGGGAGACCGCGTTTCCGGCGGTGTGGAGCGTGTCGCAGGACAAGCGGATTCGGAACTTGAAGCAAGATCTTCGAGATCTAGAGCGACTTGCCGCTGCATGGGGTGTGTGTTGTTGTTTTTTTTTTGTCTGTGTGTGTTTGTTTCTTTCCAATTTTGCCTCGAAGCAGCTCGGGCAAGGAACCTTTGTAAATACTTCGAGTCAGGGTTTTATCCCTCGTGTCCAAAACATTCCAAAAGAGCAAGAAGAGTTGTTTCAGTTTCTTGGTTTGGGAAACAAGAGGTTAAGAAGCTGAGTGAAATTCATATTCTTCTTCTACTTGGGACACGGAAACGGGTCATAAACATTGCGGGTCAAAACATGGCGTGAACACCAGGGGCAAACCATTGTCGTGAACGCCATCAGCCTTTAGGCTGTGCGTTGTGTTAGGTTCCCCAAAAGAATAGCGCCATACAGTGTTTTCCGTGTTTGGGAGAATTTAACAAAAAAGACATGAACAAACACAAACACCACAAAGAGTAGTGAATGCATAGGAAATAAACAAAACTATAGAGCTGGTTGGTCTAGTAGCGTCCTTGCTCCGTTCGTAGCGATCTCCTTTGCTCCGTTCGTAGTGTCCTTTGTTCCTAGTAGTAAGGCCAGGAGCGCCCCTAGTAGCGATGCCC